AGGAACAACTGCCTGGTCGCTGGGCAGATGCGCTATAAGTCACAGTGCAGCGCCCAAGCGATAGGCGCTGCACTTTACACAGTGTGGCGCCTATCGCTTGGGCGCTGCACTGTTGTCTGTCTGTGGGGCCGCAACTGGACCAGGGCCGCCACGCTGGCAGGATGTGCGACGCCTAAAGGAAGGGCGATGCATAGTAGTGTGCGGCGCCTAGGTGTCGGGCGCCACACTAAAGGGTCAGCAGAGTGAAATTTTTTTGAATGCAGGTCAATTTGTGATTTGATTTGGCCTACAGGTCAAATATGTGATTTCTGCCGCGCCTAGCTAGTAGCGCCCCGAGAAAAGGCAAAAGAAAAGAAAAAAAAATGGAGGAAAAGAGAATGGAAAAGAGTGGACGTGTGCCTTCGTCCAGCCGCGCATATCCCGTCGCCTTCGCCGGCCCGAACCACCCCGCCATTACTGCAACCCAACCATGTGATGCTGCGGAGGAGGCGCCATTAAGCCACCACCACGCCCTCTCTTCCCAGGGACGATGCGCGCGAATACGCTGAGAGCAGCAATGGCGACGGCCAGGATGGCGCTGTCGTCGCCGGCAAGAGCGCTCTCGTCCGCGGCCGCGCACCCTCCCGCCTCCGGCGTGGCCATGGTGCAGGGCGCGTCGCGCGGCATCGGGCTGGAGTTCGTGAGTGCCCCCGAATCCCAGCTCGCTCCTTCCCCATCATCAGTCCTTTCCCCATTCCGTTTGCGCATCAGCCCTCGCGCTCCTCCGTATTTCCGATTCGCTCACCGCGTACCCGCATTGCCCGCGTGCGGCAGGTGAGGCAGCTGCTGCGGAGGAGCGACCAGGGCCGCGTCGTCGCGACGTGCCGCGCCCCCGACTCCGCCGCCGAGCTCCAGGAGCTGAGGCGGGAGCACGCGGGGCGCCTCACCGTGCTGCCGCTGGACGTCACCGACGAGAGCACCATAGAGGTAACGGGGTAACCTCTCCCGCTCTCTTCCCCCTCACAGATTCCCAAGGTGATACAGTGACAACACGAGTGGATCGAACCTTTCCATGGCAGGCCGCCGCAGCCGCAGTTGGGGAGACCCACGGATCCCTCGACCTACTGATCAATGCCGCCGGCATCCTTTCGATCCAAAATGTGATACAGCCAGGTCTGTTCCTCACATTGGAGCAACTGCTTTCCAGTTTGCATTCGGTGCGTTATGGGATTATAATGGCTTATCTGAAACCAGGCTGCTCTGATCTCATGTTGCAGAGACCTCGTTGAGCAAAGTTCAGAAGTCATCCCTGCTACTGGCATATGAAGTCAATGCTGTCGGTCCTATTCTAGTCATCAAGGTAGCGATTACCGCCTTTCTTTCTGCTCCGAATTGTGTCAGCATTCTGCTAATCACTGCGTTGTGCTTACCCCGGTATCTGGACTTATCTTTGTTCTTGTCAGCATATGCGTCCGTTCCTGAAGATTGGTGCGAGCTTGGAAACAGGGAAAGGTTTTTCGTTGGTTGCAAATATGAGCGCTAGGGTTGGCTCGATTGGAGACAATGCTCTGGGAGGCTGGCATTCGTACAGAGCTTCTAAAACAGCACTGAATCAATGTATGTTAACAGCAAGATGCATGCTCCGTTCAGATTTCGCTAACTTGTTATTCATACCCTTCTTGTTATCGGGATAGTTTCCCCTCATTCATTGTTTTGTCTGTTTGATCCAGCGCAAACTAATCGTCACACAATTATGTACTCCCTCCGTAAAGAAATATAAGAGCGTTTAGATCACTACTTTAGTGATCTAAACACTCTTATATTTCTTTACAGAGGGAGTACCTTTCTTTGTCTTAGATTTCTGAAATGCATGCATTGGTCATGTTTTTGCAGTGACTAAGACTGCGTCAGTCGAGTTGGGCAAGAAGGACAATATCGCCTGCATTTTGCTGCATCCAGGAACTGTCGACACCGATCTCTCACGGCCATTCCAAAGAAATGTGGCCAAGGATAAACTCTTCACGAGGGAGTTCTCTGTGCAGAAGCTCCTGTCCATCATTGACAATGCCAAGAAGACTGACAATGGGAAGTTCTTCGCTTGGGATGGCCAAGAAATTCCTTGGTGACCACTGTTTTCCAGTCAGTGATCATTCTTGCCCCAATCTTCTTCTTCAGAACCAGCTGCATTTGCGCCTTGAATTCAAATCCATGAACCCAGCTCTAGTAAGATCTCTGATATGAAAAGCATGCAAAGTTATCCCCCCTTTCCTCTTCATTTTCAACTACTTCAAATTATGCATATCTGATGTTTGGCCCTGAGTACAACTTTAGAAGTCAAGCTTGTTCCCTGGTATATATCTATAAGCACTGGGGCCTACAGTCTACTAAATAAAGTACACACACACTTGCAGTGGGAGCTTTCTTGTCTCCCAGTACATGTCAATTGCACTAAGCAAATTCTGGTTCTGGTCATAAGTAACCTCTTCATAGCTGCGATTTCTTTGTCCCAATAAGTCATACGCAACTTGTGGTTAGATCCCAGCTTAATATCTTTGCACCAACATCAACCTTCAAATCGTCCCAATTTGTGCTATCCCTGTGAGCGAGTTTGTTTGGTACTCGGTCGATTCAGTACGAATCCTGGTGGCCGCTGGGGCAATTTTGACAAATCCTTGTATGTTTGATCAATCTGAATATTGTAAATGCTGGAGCTTCCTGTGGCAAAGATCGATCAAGCTGTAATGGCTTTTGGCAAATCCACGTTTTTTCAGTGTCCTGTGGCAAAAGTCAAGTTTTAACGAGGTCTAGGAGACAATTTTGCCAATTTATTATGGCATGAGATCGTTGTGTTTTGCCTTTGTTGGGAAACATGGTAAAGCAGCAACTCATAAATATCTCCATAGGAATATGAAAATATTATGTATCCCAAATAGTATGTCTTTCCATGCTCAAGGGAGAAAGAGGGTGTAGCATTAAATGACAAACTTACAAGGCTATGTAGATTATGACATTAAACAACACTAAGAGCAAGCACCAAACTTATGCCAGAAACCACCTTCGTGCCATGTTCTTTCACATAAATGTCATATGTATGTGGTATATCAATCTAACAAAGATCACACATCACTGCAGTACCGTGCAGATCCTAGAACACATTGTGTGCCAACTTCTGTATGCCTGACAAAAGAACATTAATATGATTAATCAGTTGATATTAAAAGTATACCAAACGTTGTTGTCGAGTGTCCATGCATGTACCTGAAAAGAGCTTGTAAATGGCCTCGCAGGCAACCTCTGTCTGGATCCACAAATAAATACAAGTCAATAACCTTCAATATGGATAATACACAGGAGTTCCTGGGTGCTCCACCCCCCAATATGAATATTAAATTAAAAAAATACCAGGAAAAAAACCCTTCAATATGCCTTATTTAGTATTTGCATGCATTAGTTTTGGGTAACAAGTTAAAGCCTATTTTTCCGGTTACCAAGCTAACAAGGTAATCTTATTTAATATTGTGCATCACGTTGGTATAAAGGATAGGGCTCCTCGACAAACTAGTTTCTTAGGTATGAGCAACTATCATTTCCACTTATAACCAAGGAAAGATGTAAGGCTGTGCTTTTGATACTTGAAATATATTACAAACTGATAACTGAGTGTCATTAGATCAGTTAACTAGATAGGAACGATTTTGATATACCCCTCTTGGTCCAATTGAAATGGCTATTAGGATTCATCTATTTGAGAAACATGGTATAGTAAGAAAGCTTTTGAAAAATACTTGGTAAATATGAATAATATGTATTGGTATTACCGTATTAGACCATCTCTAGTGTGGGTGAAAAGCGATTCAAAGGGGCAATCAAATCGACTCCATACACGAGAGACGTCAGTAATAAATTTATAGGATCGAACCAAGAAGTTGGCATATGGTGGTGGGCCCTTGTGACAAAATCACGGAGGGAAGGCCAGAGAGACTTGCTCTCACCTTTGTTTCTTTGACAGTGGGACCCACAGAAGGATCCCAAGCATTCGACATGGTTTCATCATTCTTGATCTGTTGGGGCCAGTTTCGATTGCTGGTCTCTCGTTGGACATCCATGGGAGCTGCACATTAAAGAAGAGTAGAAATGGTTGAGTAGAGTAGTGAAAAGATGACTAAAGATATATGAAAGCTGAAGCTTTGTAATATGAACTTTGCTTCGGTACACCCCTCCTAGAGAAGTTTACGCATTTCAATGCAGATTAAGGTGGAGATTAGGAGGTACCCCTTCAATCAAAAAGGATAATATAGTCTTTCGTATCCAAATCAATTTATTTAATACGTTTGATCTGCAGGCTAATATGGCAATAGGCTTTTTAAGTAACTTAAGATTTGTGCAAACTTTTAAGGGGGGTGTACCGAAGCAAAACCCAATATTTAATATCAGGATTTCCTATGTTGTGACCAATCAATTTTGTTCTACCAAGCTTGTTGGTGTTATAATGTGTCAACTCCATCAGTATAGTACCCCTAGTACTACCGTTTGATGCAAAAGGGTATACCTCATTAACTTACGTGTGTGCTTTCCCTGATTTTCTCTTTAAATGAAACTATGGGCATGAAGCTAGACAGATTGTCTAGTTACCTATGTTTGCTACAGAGAGACGAGTAAATAGACAAAAGCTACCAAAAGATAAATATAAAAATCATTACTAGTGTACCTTCGCAGTGGTTGTAACCATCACCAATGTATTTCACACCTTGTAGAACAGGATATTCACAAACCGTTCCAACGGAGGTGTCCTACATGTGCACATCATATGTGAAGCTAAACAGAACAAATATTTAGCACATGAAGTCTATGTTTTTAAGGCGACGCCTTACCGCCTTAGGGAGGGGGGGCGCTTTGGCGCCTAGGCGACGCCTAGGCGGGCGCTTTGGACGCTTAGGCGCCCAAAGCGGCCGATTTTCCAAAGCGGAGGGGGAGCGCTTCGACGCCTAGGCGTCGCCTAGGTGTCGCCTTAGGGACGCTTTAAAAACATAGCATGAAGGAATGCAATTTAGAGAAAATAGAAGAGCAGAACATGTACCTTGCATGCAGTCACGTTAGCAGCCATATCTTGCCAACAACCGCCATTGTTGTTCAAGCACTGATTGGTTTGTATGTCTTCTTCATGAGGCAGTTTACAATAAGCTTACATCAGTACTTCCTCTGTCCCAAAATATAAGAACGTTTTTCATACAAGTGTAGTATGAAAAACGTTCTTATATTTTGGGATGGAGGGAGTAGTTTATAAGAGGTGACATATTGGATTTTGGGTGATATGGTGTAGAGAATATATTATCTACTATTCTATGTCTATAAGCTTGTTGTCGTCTACACCATTGTACATATATTTGTCTAATGTCTATAACATTATACTAGTCCATTGTAGACAATTCATTGTAGGAGTTTTTTTGCCAACCATGGTCTCTACCACTATACTTGCCGTATTGTATGGTGGAGTTAGTGGGCTGCATTTTTGGGAACTTTGCGGAAAAGAGACCTTAGGTCAAGACATGAGGGGAGTGGTTTATGGCCATGACAGGCACACCTCAGGAAAAGAGGGGGTGGGGGGAGCCTGGGCTCATATTTATAGCCTTGACTCCTTAATACATTATTCAAGACACTCCTAAGCAATCTAATCTCAAGGAAAACTATCAGCAAGGCTGATCCATGAGAGGGGCGTTATGCGGCTTCCAATAGTGGTGCCGCACACCTTAAGGTATTCGTGTGACGACCATCTTAGCCCTGCTTACATATTAATGCAATATCTTTGTTTCTCCATTATTCATTATAAACTAGACAACTAAAAATTCATGTGAACCAACAAATCAAACCTTCATTTAAGCAAACAGACGGTTCATTATTTTCTCGGAAGCTGGCGCAGAGAGCTTTAAGAACTGCTGCCTTTTCAAGTTTCCCTAGGAAATAAAGATTCATTAAGCAGTTAAGGCTCACCAGTCACCACACCTCATGTAGCTATTCCATTATTGAAATTGGAGGGCCGAACACTGACCTCTGTATTGCCTATTGTTGATTACTAGTGTTGGCAAGATAGTAACATGATTGCCAGAGTCCTTGCCAATCTGTGCAAAATAGAAGTTGCTGCTGCATTCAGAGGACTAGCTTGGTAAACGTGAAAAATAACATAGTGCTCATTGCTAAGCTAGTAACCTGTGCATCTTGTTCAGCTTTTAGCACAGGATTTTCCTCGTCTGCGTTAGGATCACCAACACACATGTCAACCGCTTTTTGATTAAGGCCTGCAAAACACATACACATTCACCACCATTTTTTTAACTGCACCTCATTTTCAATCATAGAATGGCTGGTGCAACATTACTGTATTAGCATACCAAGTGATTTGATTACTCTGTGAGCACATTTTTCATTGTAGTTCTTTTCCTTCATTGAGCACCTAATAGCAAAATGAGTCACATAGTCCCACCATAACCAAGGCTTCCCGGTCTCCTTTGCAACTTTGAACACACAAATTTGATATAAATTCTGAACCACCACATCGCTCCCATCGTACCCTTTGCCGAAATCTTGTTCCGGATTTGGTGCACAATACCTCCCATAGTTGATACACTGGGACCTGCACTGCTTGCTGAACATGAAGCTCTCTGGGCAATACCAAGTAGTGTAATGAGGAGTGAACTGTGTGTAGCCCTTCTTCTCGAGTATCTGGGCTACACCTTTGAATCTCTTCAGGAAATCAACTTGCTCATCACATTTTGGACCACATTCATCGTTACCGTTTGTCCAAAATTCATACTCGGCACGCTCATGAGGGTACGGTCGGGACTCCTCCCAGTCCAAGTTTACATCAACCAAGTCGCCATTGTTACTTGCTTTCCTTAGACTCTCCCCAAGGCTTTTGGTTATAAGTGCTGAAGGAATGGTAATATCCTGTAAGTGTAAATTGAGTGTTGTCTCGCCACTTTCTGGTTCGTCTATTGCAAATAAAGGTTCATTTCTGTCATTAACAATAAGGACTGCTGCTGCTCCTGCTTTCTGCCCATTCCGCACCTTGGTTGTGAAGAAACAATCTGTTCAAGGCAACCATATTGTATCATACAGTATATTACTCTACTCGGTCATAATAAGTACATGTGGTATTGTAAATAGGTGTAGTTAAAAATTTAGAGGTCGAGTATGCGTATACACTTAAAATACTTCGCTTTGCATAAAGTGAACCTCAAAGTGTACATTAGTAATAGTATAATCTATTGGAACGCCACAACGAATTGGCACATTAAGTGTAGTTAGGATTATCACCAACAACTTGTTAGAGAGATGTACAGATCATCAGACCAGTTGTGCAAAATAAAAAATTTGACTAGGAGAAAGTAGATACATGTATGGAAAGACTAACCAGGTAACTACTCCTTCCAGTTGGGAGTGTAAATATTTGGCATTTTGGAAAATGACATGGTAAGTAAACTGCTCCTTCCATACGTTCTGTTTAAACATATCTATAAATAGAAATGCAGTTGTGCTATTATGAAACTACTACTCAAGACAAATCTATGCATATTGCTATTGTTCAAACTAGATAACTTGAAATAAACAACTCTGTCCATTTTCCTGCCTTCTTTTGCCATCACTGTGCTCTAAAAATCATGTAATTGTTGCCTAAAGCTTGTACTGAATGTGTTGATAATATATGTTCAGGCTGACCTAATGGTCCGCCGTAGTTACAATACTCTACTTGTGAGATGTATCTCGTCAAACAACCAACTATAACTGCAGTATATGTCATTGTTAAGTTTTAGTGCTCTAATTGTATTGAAAAAATGGATATGGTTCCACTATCAAATGATAATGGAACAAAAACAAAGCAAAAGCATCCCGATGCAAAGTGAAAACAAATGCAAAGGTTCCAGCTAACAAGTCTCGCCAGCACAAAACAAGAAACGACAGTACAAGCAAAGTACATCTACTACCACTATAAAAGAAAGAGAGGGGCAGATCCAAACAATCCCACCCATCCATCATCAAAATCTAATGGCCCTTAATCATTCTGTGTTTAACACTACCAACCACGCAACAAGCCACAATCGATCGCTAATCGCACCGCATTAAGAAAACCGGTCACCCGCACGACCTCCACCTTCTCCTCCCGCACGACCTCCTCCTCCTGCGCCGTTCGCCTCCCGCAGCCTCGCGCCGAGCCACGGGAAGCCGCGCCCTTCACCGCCGCCTCGCGCCGCCGGAGCCACGGGAAGCCGCCGCAGGTCGCTGGGAGCCCGCCCCCGCCGCGCCGTTCGCCGCCTCCCCAGCCGCGGGAGCCCGCCCCCGCCGCGGGTTGCCGCCTCCCCAGCCACGGGAGCACGCCCCCGCCGCGGGAGCCGTCCCGCCGTGGGTCGTCGCCTCCCCAGCCACCGGAGCCGCCCCGCTGCGCCCTTCGCCGCCTCCTGCA